CCCTCCTCTCCTCTGAAAAGAGAGCTCTCCATTACATATGTCATTGCCAAAGCTTTGCCACGCACTGCCTTCACATATATCGTCTCCAAGCTTCAAATTCAAAGAATACATGTTAACCTTACGGGGGATTAGCATATAGAAAATATGGTAGAAGTGTTATTTTATATTAGCTTATATGATAAATTGTTACTATGTCTAAGTATAAAAACTTCAACACCAATTGTACGAGCCTTACTTTTTTCTCATTCGGTTCAATACACGCAGTGACCTTTCTTCTCTCTCTTCAATACTCATCTTCTTCTTGCACAATTTAAATTCTTGCCCAATTTAAATTCAATTACCTGATATATTGTTATTATAGTGACTGAAATATACTTTAAACGTAGAAGCTACATTTTTTGTATTGTTTGTATTTTCATTTTAGTTGAGGCCTAGCCAATCTTTTCAGAGCACGTTTTTGTTAGGCCGAACTAGTATGTTTTTATCTTATGATTCAAGATTGTACTGTTGAGACCATCTGCCATCTATGTTTGTTAACAAAGACTGCTCCAAGATAAGATTTTGTTAACTTTTTGTGTTCCACATTCGGTTTCCTTAAAATAAGATATAAGATAAAAGTCGTGAATTACCAATACGCACCAACTTTAAAATATATACTAACCCCAACTCTTCCAATACAATTTTTTTACAGTTCATGTCATTCATTGCCCGCATTCTCTATTCTATTTTTCTGTCATTTTATTTATTATTATTTTTTGGATACATTAGTGGCTTTGTCATTTAAGACACATTTTAAGCATTTCTTAGTCTGTCATGTGTTTTTGGAAAAAATAACAATAAAGGTGAAAACAATTGTAAATAAATATTGACAACTCCAAACCATTTCGGCTTAACATCATTTACCACAAACAACGACATCAATAACTTAATATGTGTAATAGTTAAAAAACAAAGTAGAGAAGGTTAGAGAGAAGGAAAAAACTCTCTCCCGTGGAACCCCTTGGCGCCTTCTTCTTTAAGCAACAATCCATTGTTTTCAATTGATTTCTTCACTTGTATTCTTGAACTAATTCTACTATGAGTTGAGCTTAGCTTCAAGAGGCAGCCCGTCACTACAGTAAACTCATACTTAATTTCATAGGCAAATCAAAGAAGAAGCTCCAATACTGGAAATTGACGGAGGAAGAGTGCTCCGGTCACTCCTATGAACATGATGACTTCTCCCAAGAGGACTCGGAAGAAGAGCAAGAAGACATGATTGAAAGAAAAGCTTCATCTCCAATAACCAAGGGTGCCATAAATGATGGGAAAGAGGTAAGGCCGGCAAGCTCTAGCACTTCCTTACCTATCAATGATATTGGGTTAGCTGAGGATGACGATGGAGGGGAACAACAAGTACAAGAGAAGCCTACTACACAAACCAAAAAAGGCGAACACAAGGTGCTCGACAAAGTGACACAAAAGAATCCCGACACACTAAAGAGGCCATACTCGGCCCTCTTTGCCGACAACCGTAAGGCCTCTCTTGGCCTTAAATTGGACTACATACCGCCGAACAACGGGGTGGACCTAGACGAAGAAGACCTATTGGACTTAACGAGTGCATGGGGCTTTTGCCTTGTCGGGTACTTTACTCATAAGCACCCAGGCAAAGAGGCTTTGTTGAAGCTATGTAACTCATGGAAAGTTCGATACGAATACATTCCCAACGTCAATGGGTGAATTGTTTTCAAGTTCAAAAACGAAGAAGATAGAGAGAAGGTACTTCATGGAGGGCCCTATACTATTTATGGTCGAGGGCTCATCCTTAAAGTACTCCCCAATTGGTTCCAATTCGGGGAAGACGACATCAAAACCGTTCCCGTTTGGATCAATCTCCCCCTCCTACCTGGGGAATGTTGGAGCACTAAATCACTTAGCAAGATTGCCTCCTACGTCGGCAAACCTATCACTACCGATAAGCTCACAGCAACCCGAGCTAGACACAACTATGCCCGGGTTTTGGTTGAACTTGACCTCTCAAAAGATAGAGTCCTTAGCGTCCCCATATCCTCCAAAGGGAAGTTCCTATTTGAGCAAAAGGTGGAATACAAGTATGTCACATTATTGCAATTTTTGCAAATTCATAGGACATTCCACCACCAATTGTGGGAAATACAAAGCCCACCTTGAGAAAAAAGCGGAGGGCAAGAAACCGACCGGGGAAGGTGAACCTGTGGTGACTACCAAAAAAGCGGTAGAACACCAAGCAAAGGAACATCAACCTAAGGGAATCAAGCAAATGAAGGGGGATGAATCCTTGATGACTACCAAGATAGCGGTAGAACACCAACTAAAAGAAACCGAACAACCCAACATAGGAGGTGACAAGGCTAAACCCAAGGAGAGGGTTGATATGGAGGAAAAACAAAAGAAATGGGATGAACCAAACGAAGAGCATGAGGAGTATGTAAAAAGGAAAGAGGCGGTGACCATTACTTCAGAAAACTCTTCCTCCTCCCGAACCATTACCGCTCCTATGGATAATGAGGACGACGACACCTTCCAAGTAGTAGGTAAGCGCAACAAATACTCACCCGAAGTAGAGTCGCGAGCCAATCCACCGCAACTTCAGGTCAACAATCCAAATTGAGAGGCAAACCGAGTGGGAAAAATGAAGGGGGTAAGGGAACTATTGTGAAGAAAGGGGGTCACCCTTCCTCTCCTCAATGATTATCGCCTCATGGAACATTAGGGGATTTAATGGACCCCTAAAGCAAGATGAGGTGACCAATCTCATCCGTAGAAATAACATAGATATTTTGGGTCTTTTGGAAACAAAAACCGATGCTAGGCGGCTAGCTCTCTTTGTGGATAGAAGATTGCCGGGTTGGGAATTTTGTGAGAATTTTGATGTTGTTGACCGTGGGCGTATAGCACTACTATGGAACCCCGCGAAGGTCGACATCACGGTGGAGGCCACCTTGCCTCAAGTCATATTTGCGAAGGTCCATTGTAAGATTAGCAACCACTCGTTTATTGCTAGCCTCATATACGAACTCCACACGAGAGGAGATCGAAAATTGTTATGGAATGACCTTAGGGCTGCTCGGGGGAGGATCTCCTTGCCTTGGATGCTCCTTGGGGATTTCAATGCCATTCTAAAACTGGAAGAGAGAATTAGAGGTGAGAGGTCACCAATCGGGACACCAGTGATCTCAAAACCCTCTTTGACATCCGGTAAGCCTTGGTGGAAAAGGTGGGGAGTGCTCGAGAAGCGGAAGCCCTTCTTCAAAGATGGAAAGCTCATGAAGGCCAAGAAGGGACTAGCAAGTGCTACGACCTCCTTAGACCTAAACGACCTATGGTACTGTGGCATGGGGTAGTTTGGGGCCCGTGCAACACCCCTAAGCATTCTTTCACCCTTTGGTTGGGGGTGCTTAACCGACTTCGGACAAGAGATCGACTCGAATTCCTTGAACAAGATCCAATAAGCCCTCTTTGTGGAGTTGCGAATGAATCTTCGAGCCACATTTTCTTTGAGTGTTCATTTGGTTCGGAGATTTGGGATGAGATTCGTACTTGGATTAGACTCCGACATAGGCCGACTACACTAAAAGGCTCCCTCAAATGGATCAAGAAGGAGGAGAGAGGGAGTGGTTGGCAAACAAGGTTGAAGAAAGCGGCGCTTGCGGCTAGCGTGTACTTTATTTGGAATGCTAGGTATAGGTTGGTGTTTGAAAATGAATACCAAGGCAGAATTATGGTAATTCGCAAGGTAAAAACACATGTTTATAGAACAATCTTTGCCACCTATCCAAATGTACTTGTTGAATTTGAGAGAAGAAGTCTTGGGCTTTAAGAGCAAAGAAGTCGAAAATCGGCCGAAAACGCTCAAAACAAGCCTAAGTTGGGAAAATGGCCCCAGGACAGCACGATTTCGCAGCTGCGAACACACATTCCGTGAGCTGAGCAATTTCGCAAGCAATCCTCCCGCACCTGCGAATTCCTGCCAGCTTGCGAATCTGGATTTCGCACCTGCGAGTTCCAACAGAGCCTACAGCCCAAAAATTTCGAGCCTGCGAAATTCCTCCTGGTGCCTGCGAGTTCCCCTTATGCTACGAAATGGCCACCAGCGAATTCACAAAGCTCACGCCCGCGAGTTGAGACCGTTCGGGCCTGTTAGTAGTCGGTTTCCAGTGCCGTTTCACCTACGTGTACTCATCGTGCGGTTATATGAGATTACAAAAGATTTCTATCATTTTGTTTTCTATTAGTAATGAGTAACCAATCGACTTGTGGTTGGCCTCGTAATCTTTGCTTGGCGAATGCGGAACCGACTTAGTGGTTGCCCATTACGCTTTTGTACACCGTTAAATGTCCGAAACATTTTTGGTATATATAAATTTACCTTTAACGATAAAAAAAAAATATATAAATTTACCTTTA